GGTCTTTCTTTGGATCATAGTCTAAGTCATCATCCATTGCACCGTCATCATACAAAATGTCGCATATCTCCTCCTCAAGAGTCGTTTTCCATGACCGCAGATGACCGTGGAGCGGGAGTTTATAGACAATGTGTCAGACATGGTTGCTGCTTTGAAACTGAGGTTCCCCCATGGCTGCGGGGCATGCTGGAATTTTTTTTCAAGATGGACGGCGGATGATTACTGGGGCCCCCAGGCATCCATTTCATACCCGTGTCACTGCGCGCCAGTTTTGAATGGAAGGTGAAAAATAAAAATACCTGAAGGCGCGTTGCGCACCTCCCGTCGAAGGCCTGCAGGTGCATTGCGCAGTTCAGTGGTTAAGGAAGCAATCGTCAATTAATTTTAAAAAATCTTCTGCTTCATTATTCTTTGTTCTGTTAAGCCAGTTTATTCTATTAAAATTAAAGTCACCCATGACACAAATACTGTTTGATCTAGATGCTCTAGATATTTAATATCATAGATGCTATGCTTCTATTCTTTTTTAAGTTTGGTGGCCTGTATATAACTCCTATTATAAGATTTTTAGCTTTTCCATTTAATTCTAGCCAAAGAGTTTGTGTGGGGGGGGGCTCAGTTTTGATTTCCTCTTTGAGACTGCATTTCAGATTTTCCCTAACACGTATGGCTACTTCCCCTCCTCGTCTAATATAAGTGTGTGAAATTGTCAAATAAACAGTTTAAACTATCAGCTAATAGTTCACCGTTTTCTACATTCATCCATATTTCGGTAAGTGCAAAAATCTATTGTTTCTGCGCAGACAGGAGCATTTAAATCGTTTATTTTGTTTCTAAGACTCCTACTGTTCATGTAATATATCTTAAGGGTTAAGTGTATTGTTATTTTGAGGCCCTTCTCCTTCCCTGTTCATTTTGCCAATTTTTTCCTCCACCAACACATTCCTTTATTGCCTCATTTCTCCATATCAATTTCCATACCACTATCTTCTAACAGTTTAAACCCAAACAAACCCCCTCCAACCACAGGTTCTAATGAGTTGGCAATAGCAACAACCCCAGCCCTAGATAAATGCACCCTATCCCGAGCATACATGTCATTTCTTCTATAGAATTGGTCCCAGTTATCAATGAATGATAGTGCATTTGATTTACAATATTTGTCCAGTCGGCAATTAACACCAAGTGCCCTCGACAACCCATTCATTTCCAACTCCCTTTCTTGGAAGAATGCCACATATGATTGGGATTTCTCCCTTGCTGCTAATTAATTCTATGACTGTCTTAAATCTCTGTATCAGTGCCTCATTCCTAACTTGTCCTACATCGTTTCCACCGGCACAGATACAAATAATGGGTTTGTTCCTATTTCCATCATTCATGATGTTTATTGTATCACCAATTCCTACTCCCGGATAGCAAACCCTTAACCTGTTCCCCCTATCTCTAGCACAAAAAGCTCTATCCAAATGCCTCACCTGGAAATCTCTAACAACCAAAATTCACTTAGCTACTTCCTTTGCTTTGTGAGCACCTTGAGGGACCTGCGCTCCCTTCGTTGTCTTGCCTTTCGAGTGAACTGCAGTCTCCCCACAGCATTTGTCTTCCAGCACTGCGAATGGGTTGGAAGTCTGACATCTGTAGGTGGCTTTCTCAGAGTCTTCTTAAGACCCCTGTCCTTTATGACATTCCAAGATGAAGTCTTTCAACTGCTGCTCTTCTCATTTGCTTCCTCTAGACATTTTTTCATCTGTTTTAGCTCCTGCATCTGTCGTAGCTCCTCCCACAGGGAATCCAACTCTACCCTCAAAGCTCCACATATCTCCCTCACTAGCACCAGTTCACTTACTGCACCTTCCATTTTCAATATCAAGACAACTGGAGCTCCAGCTAACACACCCTCTCACTGTGACTGACTGTGCCCGAGTAAACTGAATTGGAATTATCTAATATAAATTTGATAAGTTGAGATTCAGGAAAGACCTGGGTAAGTGCTGGTTTGGAAACATAGTTGTTGGTTTATGGTTTATATTACTAGGTAATATAATAGACAAAGTTTTGCTAGATTGTTTCCAGCACAGGTGAGACATGTATATGAACCAGTCTAGGTGAATATGAGCTGTCTCGCATTGGCCAACAGGCATTCTGCAGTTTCCTTGATTCTCATCTTGTTAACTTTACTTCAAAAGCTTTTGGTGTACTAACAGGCTATCACAAGGTGTGGTGAGATTTGGATACCTTTTAAGTAAGGTATTCCTTCAAGGATTGTGTATAGTGTACATATTTACATATCTCCTGCCTGCTTCTACTATGGTTCTAATGTACATTGAATGACCTGGTATTTATTGTGTGCGAATATATGTCTATTACAGGGCCAAGGGTACATATATTATTTATAATCATTTGAGTTCTGTACACACATAATATGAACCAAATATAATATTAGCCATTTATAAGATTATACTGTATTTTGAAAATTGTAAAAGACAGCAGAAAAAAGAAGTCCACATAAATGTCTGTAGAGAGAGAGAAATATTATTGAAACACGACATGAAACGAGGAGGGAGTGTGTGGTGAGAGAGAGGGGGAGGCTGTGTTGCTGATGTGCAGGAGCCATGAGCTTTGCAGAAAGATTTAGGTCCTGTCTATTACAATGCCATCAAATCCAACCAGTAAAGTGTATTCTGTCTATTATTCTTTTATGGTGGATTGCTCAGATACCTCATATCTGACATCTAGCCATAGTTGAGAGGCTATGCTCTTAACCATAATACACTTTTAAACATATAATGTTATAAAGTACATTTCCAAACATTAAGGAAATTTTGATGATTGTTGTCTTTCTATTATAGAGAAATAAAATGTGATTATAGATTTGAAAACTTTACCTAGTAGAGGTACATGGTAAAACAAGTTTTAACTCTCCTATGAGTTAATTTAGTTTATATGTGGATTACCAATATTCAGCCCAACCTTCTGTTTAAGTAGTACTGATAATAACGATGGGGGACCATCGTACTTTACATACATTGTTGTAAAAGGAAATTACAAAATAGAAATTGGTATTATTGAATATGGACAAATCAGATAAGGTTTTGTATTGATGTTGCAAAGAAAACCTAAACTTACCTAACCTTTCTAGGTCTAAATACACACCATCTGAAGCCCAATATTGTACATATGTGTGCTATACTAGGCCTAAGAATATTTAAGTTTGTTGTTGACCAGACCACACACTAGAAGGTGAAGGGACGACGACGGTTCGGTCCGTCCTGAACCATTCTCAAGTCGATTGTCATCGACTTGAGAATGGTCCACGGTATTGTGACTCATCGCCTGCATTTAAGTTTGTTATTTACCATTATTTTTTCAGACTCTATAAAATGAATAGTACCAAATTCTACTATCTAATTGTCTTTTACAACAATATATGTATGATGGGCCACAGTTACAATAAGTACCATCTAAACAGGAGGATGGGTGGCAATATTTCATCATTAATATTTACCTTCTTCCCTCACAATGTATTACTTTCGTCAATGTATACCTCATTCCCTCACAATGTATTACTTTCGTCAATGTATACCTCATTCCCTCACAATGCATATTACCTTCTTCACCAATGTATACCTCATTCCCTCACAATGTATATCTCCTCCTTCACCAATGTATACCTCATTCCCTCACAATGTATATCTCCTTCCTTCACAATGTATATCTCCTTCCTTCACAATGTATATCTCCTTCCTTCACAATGTACATCTCCTTCCTTCACAATGTATATCTCCTTCCTTCACAATGTATACCTCCTTCCTTCACAATACATATTACCTTCACCAATGTATACCTCCTTCCCTCACAATACATATTACCTTCTTCACCAATGTATACCTCCTTCCCTCACAATACATATTACCTTCTTCACCAATGTATACCTCCTTCCTTCACAATGTATATTACTCTCTTCACCAATGTATACCTCCTTCCTTCACAATACATATTACCTTCTTCACCAATGTATACCTCCTTCCTTCACAATGTATATTACTCTCTTCACCAATGTATACCTCCTTCCTTCACAATACATATTACCTTCTTCACCAATGTATACCTCCTTCCCTCACAATGTATATTATAGTTGTTAATGTCTACCATCCTTCCCCATCATCACACACCAAGATTATTTAGGTCATATTATCTTCAGTACTGGAAAATGAAGAATTATTTCTGGGAGTGGGTGAGGAGTCTAATTTTTTTCACCATTCAACTTTTCTTACCTTTTTGTTTGACTGCACAGCAGGAAAGAGCATGTATTTTTTTAACTATACGGTATACATAATACAAAATATCTTGATTACAAAATTTTGTTTCTTGGCAGCTTTTCTAAACAACTGTGTCACAGTCAGAGAGTAAACAACCCTTGTCACTAAATTATCCCTTGATCCCTGTACTAAGCTTCAACATTAAATTTCATCATACCTATGTATAACCCAAACCGCATATGGTGGCAGGTACAGTATATGAATAGTAGTAAAGTCATGAATGACATTTCAGACCATATATACACCACACTACTTCTTGTGCCACCTCACCTACTCCTTGATCTTCTACGGGACCAGAATGGTCCAAAACATTGTCACTGTCATGTGTATGGGTTGGGTTATTTGTTTCAGCCATGTCGTTGTGACTCATTCTCTTCATATTTACCTAGCCATACATGCCTATAGTATTAAGCGAGACTCCAATACGTTTAGTGTAAGGCACATGCGTGCTTACAGTGTCAACTGAGACTCCAACATATTATTTGGAACTTGGGAATGTAATAAGTTTGGTGTTATTCTGTTAATTCATCAATAGAGAATCGCACAGGAGAAAAACTCCATCAAATACAATTTTAAGCTCTGAAATTGGCCAAAAATGTTTTAATTTTAAGTATTATCCTTGTAAAGTTTCAAGCCCAAAAAACTATTTGGAAAGGTGCTTGGAAAATATACTAGACATTTTCTTAGAATTATCTTTACTTAATATTTGATAACAAAATTTGACACAATAATATGTGATAAAATGTAAATTTGCTAAACAAAAGTTCGTGCTTCATAGTGTTCAGTAATAGCTCAATAAACGTAAGACAAACATGACTCGGCTCCTCAGCATATATATACACAAACAAAATAATATATACCAAATGCTTTAAAGACATTTTTGAAGCTTATCAATAATAGCTATTAATACTTTAAGATATAAGTCTACGAGACTTCAACATTCTCTCTAGACGAGCAATCTTGCTCATCTCATGCTCTGGGCTTGGGACAGAGATGGTGCTAATGCTAGCTGTAGATGAACTCTGACTGATGGAGTGATGAGCAGATAATGCCTGGCTGCCGGAGCTTGAAACTGCAGGACTACGATGAGGAGAATCTACCGAGGATCCCATAGTGCGTTGGCGATACAGCTCTAGAACCGACGCTCGATCCTTTACTCCTCTCATCTCCAACACCTGCACCATTTGACACAATGTTAATATCCCTGATGTTTCATGTGTAGAAAGAGAAAACTTTAAAATTTATTAATTTCAAAACAAGCATTAAATTTAATAAGGTCTGAAGAGTTTATTAAATTGTAAAGATCTTATGAAACTAACAGTTTGCTTTTTAAAATACTCGGATACATTTTCAAATGGTAACTACTTAACTTTTGGAAGTCTGCAATGGTAGCATCAGGAAGAAGTCTATTAAATTTGTCAACCAGGTCATTGTGTGTTGCATACTCTCCCATCACAACCTAAAAGATAATTGGTATGATCAATACAATATAGCACACACATTTTATCATCATTCCTCTAACTTTCATAATGAAGAAAACCAGCATCAACTGCAAAAAAACTGGTGGCTCCTTGGTGTTTGCCACCTGACAAGCTCCACCCAATGTGATCCATGAAACAGAGACTTATCCCCCTCTAAAGGATCCCTGCACGGAGCAGGTATCCTAGATCACCCTAACCAAGAACAGGCCACCAGAAAGATGAGCAAAACATACAAACAGTGAGGTAAACAAAGCATAGAAAATGGAACACACAAGCCCAAAAATTCACAAAACACAAGGTTGTGAAGCAGTACAGTATCCTTGTTAGTTCCACCTGCACACCATTTGGAGACTGCAAACCTTCCTCCTAAATCCACCAACCTTGATACCTCAGTCCTATACCTAAGAAAATGAAATACCGAATCCCTTGGTTGGGAAAGGAGGGTCAAGAGGACCCACTAAGGACCCACCAGAAAGGGGCATTTCATTACATTCAACGATGGTTTTCTGGGAGGGCTCCTATGATGGCTCCACAGACAAAACAAGGAGCACTCACCATAGTCCCAAGAAGAGCTGCAGAGATTAAGCTCCAGAAGGGGAATTAGTGACACATTAACCACCCCAAATGCACACAAGCCCAGCACAGATCAAGAACATTCACTAAGTAACGAGCTGAGCTGCAAGCACTTTGATGGATTGCTAATCCCACCTCAAACCCACCACCCAAGCCTGAATGACATTAAAAACACCAGTGTTGAATATAATGAAATAACCTCAAGATAACCAAGATAGGCTTAAGAGCAAGGTCTCAGTGCACACCTATGTACAACCCACTACAATTATCTCAATAAAGCAACCAATAAAAGATATTACCAATCCACCCATTAAACCATCATTATGTACTCACCTAGCTGTGTTCGCAGGGGTTGAGCTCTGGCTCTTTAGTCCCGTCAGTCAACTGGTCTACAGATTCCTGAGCCTACTGGGCTCTATCATATCTACATTTGAAACTATGTATGGAGTCAGCCTCCACCACATCACTGCCTAATGCATTCCATCTGTTAACTACTCTGACACTGAAAAAGTTCTTTCTAACGTCCCTGTGGCTCATTTGGGTACTCAGTTTCCACCTGTGTCCCCTTGTTCATGTAGCACCCATGTTCAAACAGGTTATCCTTATTTACCTTGTCAATTCTTCTGAGAATTTTGTAGGTAATGATCATGTCTCCTTTTACTCTTCTGTCAACCAGTGTCATGAAATGCATTTCACTCAGCCTTTCCTCATAACTCATTCCTCTTAGTTCTGGGACTAGTCTAGTGGCATACCTCTGAACTTTTTTCCAGGGTCGTCTTGTGCTTGGCTCCCAGCATGGAGCCCGTCCAAGGTACGGGCTCCATGCTGGGGCTGCATACTCCAGGATTGGTCTAACATATGTGGTATACAAGGTTCTGAATGATTTCTTACACAGGTTCCTGAAGGCAGTTCTGATGTTAGCCAGCCTTGCATACGCTACTGATGTTTTTCTTTTATGTGGGCTTCAGGAGGCAGGTTTGGCAAGATATCAACTCCTAGATATTTCTCTCTGTCCGTTTCATGAAGGATTTCGCCTCTCATTCGGTATCCCGTGTCTGGCCTCCTGTTTCCACTACCTATTTTCATTACCTTACCTTTACTCGGGTTCAACTTTGGTAGCCATTTGTTGGATCATTCATTCAGTTTGTCTAGGTCATCTTGTAGCCTCATACTGTATTCCTCTGTCTTAATCCTCATAATTTTTGCATCATCAGCAAACAGAGAGAGGAATGATTCTATACCCTCTGAGAGATCATTTACATATATCAGAAACAGTATAGGTCCAAGGACTGAACCCTATGGGACTCCACTGGTGATGCCTCACCAATCCGAGACCTCACCCCTCACATTGACTCGCTGTCTTCTGTTACTTAGGTACTCCCTTGTCCAATGGAGTACCTTCACTCCTGCCTGCATCTGCAGCTTTTGCACTAGTCTCTTGTGTGGTAAAGTGTCAAAGGTGTTCTGACAATCCAAAAAATGCAGTCTGCCCACCCCGCTCTGTCTTATCTGATTTTTGTTGCCTGGTCATAGAACTCATTTAATCCTGAGAGGCAGGATTAATTGGTTTATGTATAAATCATTGAATGTAAGATAATCACATAAAAGTTATCAATAGTCTACATGTGCTGTATACATAATGTGTTCAAATGTTCTACACGTGGATAACCTACTTTTATGTTATTATTTATCTTTATAATTGAATTTGAATTACATGCAATGCATTATTATAAACCACTGTATTATATTAAAACATACATATTACTAATTAAATACAGTTAATATTAATAATAATAATATTATTAATAATACAGTAATAATAATAATAATAATAATAATAATAATAATAATAAATTAAATAATTAAATACAGGTAACACCCTATATTACAGTACCTTCGTGTTTCCTTATACTGTACCAAGTTGTATGTATATAAAATTATTACACACCTGTAATAACTTGGCAAATAAAATATTACACACATGTAGTGCTAACTTGGCACATGCCATACACACCTGTAGTACTAACTCAGCACGAGCCATGCCTCTTCCAACCATTCTTGTGTACGTCTGTGGAGGGTCACGCCGCACCTATCAAAATATAAAGATAATTATACCAAAAAAAGAAGACAATAAAATGAAATAAAATTATTATTTTTACAGTTCCTGGGTAGGGCAGTAACCAAGGGATTACCCAGAGAGAAGCGTTTCCTTAACCCTTTAACTGCGCAACGCGCCTGCAGGCCCAGGCTTTGGGTGCGCAACGCGCCTGCAGGCCCAGGCTTCGGGTGCGCAACGCGCCTGCAGGGCCAGGCTTCGGGTGCGCAACGTGCCTCCATGTGTTTTTATTTTTCACCTTCCATTCAAAACTCCCGTTGATACATGGGGTTCACATCAGCTTCTTCAGGGCTCTTGTAAACAGACGCCATCTTTAACAAAAATCATGGTCCACATTGCCAGGTGTGAGGGCCTCAGTAGTGAGTGAGCAACCAAGGCTGGCGCTCGCTGCATGAGCGCACAGCTCTGCTGTTCAGCATGTGACCATCACCTAATAATGTCAAAATATATATATAACCTGTATTATTTAGCCATGATAGTATTATAGAAGAGCCCGAGTGTGATAATGACTGGGTACAATGTTCAAATATCAGTGATTCAATGCTGTTCACGATGTTCACAGAGCTAGCCACAGCACCACAGCATTATTAATTAATTTAACACTTTCGCGCTAACCGGACTCACCGCTGCGTCCTGTTTCGCCTAACGCTACCGCATAGTGGACATAAAGTTATGTCCTCTTTTAAAATATTTGTATAAAATTCAATTTTTATCCGATTTACTTTGGGTTTGTTTCAAATTGCGCGCCATGAGGCTCTCTTTCTCACCAATAGGCTGCATGGTACAATAAGTTCATGAAAGGTTCACAAACATAACAAAAGTAAAAACATTTCGTGTGTGTTTGATTCTCACTGATATGTTCCAGCGTTGTTTTATATTTGGCGCTATTCTATCTTACGCTTTGTTGATCTTTTTTACCTACGGGCTCATAGAACATTCTATTGCGAACACATTGACACAAAAATGAATGACGTACATAGAATAATAATGTCATGAGAATGAAATAAGTATAAACTTTCAAAGCGCAGTGCGTCATCCCGTCACCGACACCGGGTAACAATTTCACCACTTCCCACACTCTTGCGGGCGGGCCGCAATCATTATTCTACGCTTATATTCATATCACCGTGTTGGGAATTTCATTGCGAGTCCATTGATACCAAAATTAACGCTGTAGGACAAGTGTGGAGGTGATAACAATCCCAAGAGTAAAAACATTTTGTTGCTGTTGGGCGCTCACGGCGAGTCATCTTCGTAGTTATTTATTTGGTGCTGGTATCCCTATACGTTTCGTGACTTTTTTTACTAATGTTCTTCTAGAGAATTTAATTGCGAACACGTTGGTACCAAAATGAAATACGTAGCTCGAGAACTAAGGTCATGAGAGTAAAAAGAGTATACACATTTTTGTTTTTACGCTTACGCGGCAAAACGCCGTGAGCACTTACGGTTGTTTCCCTGACCTTCGCGGAGAGCGCGAAAGTGTTAAGTCCATCTAGGAATCTTCAAACGACTTCTTAGGTTCCTTTTCAAAATAAACTTGTGGTCAATTATTCATTTACATAAATTAGTGACCAGGATTGTGGTTATAATTAGCGTTGTGTGTAGTATTGTGGAAGGAGGAATTTTGATGAGAGAGGGAGGGAGAGAATTGAGGTAGCCTCACTGTGTGGCAGCCACTCTTGTTTTGCTCACCATACTAGCTTCGTGGTTCGCTATGGGAAACACACATGCACAAGGGTATATACAGTGTGTGTGGTGTATATAGTGTAATAACAGCAACAGGAGTATGTTGAGTGGAGCTATTTTGGTGAGGGAGGCGACGTCGTAATCGTAGCGTCGTCTGCTGTTTGCTGTGTGATTTCTCATGCAGTGTGTGGTGGCCACTGTACTGTTTGGACACAATACTGGCTTACTTGCATAGTTCTGGTAAATAAAACATGTAGATAGGTATATATAACATGTGTAAATAGTGTAATAAAATCAATAACAGTATGGTGGGAGGAGCAATGTTGGTGAGTAAGATGTTGGAGTGAGGGAGGGCCTGTCTGGGTGTGGCTGCTCACACTCACGATGTTCTGAATGTGTTGATGGTAAATGTATATAGTGTGTGACAGTGTATAGTGTGTACATATGTTGTAAATATACATAAATGAACATGAAACATTGGTGTGAATAACTGTATGATGGGAGGAGCAATGTTGGAGGAGTGAGGGAGGGCTGGCTGGGTGTGACAGCTCACACTCGCAGTGTTCTGAGTGTGTTGATGGTGAATGTATATAGTGTGTGACAGTGTATAGTCTGTAAATAGATTGTATATATACATAAATTAGCAGGATACATGGTAAATATGTGCAACATATGTGTACACAAGTGTCATGCACGTAACACAGTGTCTTTGGACAGTACGGATGTTTTACTGCCCTAATGTAGTGTACGTGTTCATTATACATATGATTGGCACGTAAAAACAAATAAAATGTATTTGGAACTGTGCGCAAAAAATGAACAAATATATATTCGCAGCAACTCGCGCGCCCTACCGGCCCCGGGGGCTTACGGTACGGGTACACGGAGAATGATGACTTCACGCGCCACCTTACGGACCCCATAGCAGCCAAAGTAAGTACAATTTCAAAAATCCATTGCTATACCCATATACAGGGAGGGGTTTTTGACACTTTCAGAACAAAAAAGAATTTTTTCCCGAGAATTTATTTCTTGCGCACTGGGGGTGTTATATTTATAGGCCACGCAGTTAAAGGGTTAAAGTCAGTCTAAATTTTCTGGCCAGGCCCCCTCAATAACACCCCAAGTTTAAGCACTGGTACAGCCAAGTCTTACTGCTACACACCAGGATTTTGAGATCCACCTTTATCTACTGAGAACCAGAAAGACAATTAGACTTCCTTTATGAGGAGGGAAGCTTGGGAATTAGAGATCAACCAAAAAACAATGAAAACCCAACAAAACGAATAGGCAAAACAATTGCTAATCCCTGGTACTGCGTACATGTTACATGTGACAACCATGCAGTGTGCAAGAAAAAAGCCAACGTTAAATGGAATGGAAAGCCATTTTCTGAGCGAGCCCCGGATGCCCCCTGGAGCTATCTAAACTGACGTGTGCAATATTAGTTTGGGGTCATCAGTCACGTGAGTCCTTATGCCTACCGGGAACCACAAGCCAGAATCTGGTTTCCTCAGAGAGCTGCAGGGAGCAATGGCCTATGAGCATGTTACATTTAAAGTACAGTGGTACCTCGGAATACGAGTATCCCTGTATACGAGTTTTTCGGAATACGAGCAGGATTTCCTCGGAAAATCTGCTTCGGAAGGCGAGACTTGCATCGGAAGGCGAGGGTTACCTCGGAAGGCAAGTGCGTTGATATGCGTACAGGACAACCTAGCGCATGGTGGAACAGCGATCGTCGCCCCTAACACCTCAGTTTACCAATGCCTCGTGCCCAGTGACTATCCCGCGTCAATTCTTCAGGAATTTCAGTGTTTTGTTATATTTTTGGTCATTTGACCATAAAACCAGCGTTGAATGTAATGAAACGCCATTTTCTGGATGAGTCCCAGAGGCTCCCCGGAGCTATCCAAGCTGAATGGATATGTATAACTTTCTGACATCAGTCGAAGTGCTAGGAGTTCTTGCCTACCGGGGACCACGAGCCAGAACCTGGCCCCCTCAGAGAGGCACGAGGAGCAATGGCCTATAGAAACCCCTTTGTGATTGGGAGCATTCTATGTCTGCCATCAACCAGGACAGGCACCCAGAAAGGTAGGCGCCCCAAAACAAACCCCTATTCTGGTGAAATTATTGCTACCGAAAGCCGAACGAGTGGACAAAACTCCCCAAACAAAATTATCAAACTAGCATGACGTCATCACGTCGCCGCGCCACCGTCTGCACAACCCCCCCCCCTCCCTGAGAGGGGGAAGGGGGAGTCCCAGACACTCCACGCCGGCGATCCAACTGGCAGTTCTTAGGCTGGATGTCAAATACGCGAAAAATGCCGCTGCCCGGAGGGAGGGCGGGATGCCGGGGAGCCTCCGGGACTCACCCAGAAAATGGCGTTTCATTACATTCAACGCTGGTTTTCTGGGGGAAGCCCCGTCGGCTCCCCGGAGCTACCTCCCCAAAGATAAGTAAAACAGGGAAGAAATCGGGAGGCGTATACCACCTGTCCTAACTGAACAACCAAAACCAGAGACAAAACAAAGACCAAAACGAGAAGAAAAAGACCACCCAGGCCAACGACCAGGACGGCCCCAAAACTCAAGAGCAGGCCAGAGGGAAACAACGCCCAGGACAGCAAGTGGAATGGAGCAGAAGGAACCGCAACACTGAACGCAAGCAGGAGCGGCTCTGCCAGCACCACCCAACATGAGGTGACAGGACAATCCCAGACGACGGTCCCAGAACAACCCCGAAGGGAAGACAAGCCATGCCTATCAAAGACCGAAGGACCCTTCGCAATGATAGGAAAACCACACACTGCCCCCGAGACGAAACACGCAGGTGGGAGACCAATAACCTGGTCCCAATAACCTGGGACCTGTGTTCAGATTCGCAAAACACGAAGCTAAAAACAGTGACCCCGCAACCCAAAGGAGCAACATAACCAGCTCCAGAAGGGAAGAATGGGACATACATCCCCGAGGCATCCAAGAGGATAACTACCGAGGACGAGAACTGCAGGAAAGCAAAAACACCCGGTCCGGAAAATGAACAAAGAAAAACAGAAACCAGGACCGGAACCCAGCAAACCTGGTTCCAAGAAAAGGAACCAGGAAGGCTGGAGCGGCAGACCGAAAAGTCCACACTCCCCCCCACAGACAGCGCAACCCGAAGCCTGCAGAAAACCACACAGAAATCACAGGAACTCGGTACCAAAACGGAACACCGGAGAAGTCCAAAAGCAGGACGTGGAACATGGACAGAGGCCCACCGGAGCACCAAACAGG